GAAATAAAACAAAGGAATAATCAAAACAAAACCCCCCAAGCCCTAGAAATTTGACTGAAGAATGGAGGCTACCAGAGGGAGATGGTAGAGAGGGTAGGGAGCACAGGGTGCCTGAGGCTCAGTGGACTATGTGGAATATTATGGGTGCTTTGATTGTGTTGTGACATACACTTGGGGATGTCTGAATCTTATACCTCTAAATCATATAGTGTTGAAAACTAAATCACTTCAACAGAAAATAATAAATCTCTCAAAAATTAAAAAAGAAATACAGTGTCATAACAAATGTTTAATCATTGAAGCCCACCATGAGTTCCCAGGCAGAACTGGGGAACTGAACAGTGACGAGGACTTTGAGACATTATGTATACTATTTGTGTGAATAATTCTACAATAAAAAGGAGTGAATGATTCCTAGGCTTTGAATACTGTCTCTTACTAGCTTTGTGACCTCCTACATACCTCAGATTCATCTTTAAAGTGTGGATGTGATAATGGCAGCTACTTCAGAGGGTTGTAAAAATAGAATAATCACTGTTGAACAGTAATTAGAAGTATGCTCGTCATGTAGCAGGCTTTTCCAAATCTAATTAATCTTGGGCTTTTTGTTTTCCTTTCAGGATATAATCTATATTCGAACTTTCAGATATCCTCTGAGGACTTGGAGAAACAAAGACTCTTTATCTGTGATACATCTGTCTCCTCCTGTGATCTGGAAAGCACTAGGGATCACAGCACAAAGAAAAGCGTCTCTGGAGGAGTTAGTGTTGGCTGCCGGGCAGAGGCCAAGGGAAGCTGGGGTGTCCAGGGAAAGAGCAGGAGATAAAGCATCTAAAGGAGAAAGAGGATTCCCAATGGGAGTCTTTGAAAGTGACAACATGCCTCACATGACTCTATGTTGTTCATCTTTGATCTCGTGTCACTTTCCCTGCTCCTCCTCAATGATCTGTATAAATCCTTTCGAATGAAAGAAATGTGGATGACCAGGCATAGACACATCAGAGGATGTTGAACAGAGAAAACTTCAGGGATGTGGGTAACTGACCTGGGGACTGGGTGTTGGGCTGATGGAGTCTCAAGGCTGGGGTCACCCTAGAAATGAGGATGTCGGCCCCAAGCCTATTATAAAGGCTGGCCAGGTTTGGTGAGTACGGCTGAAACCAAGATCACCTTCTGGAAATGATAGGAGATGGGTGAGAGGCAGAGAACAGGGAACACAAGATTATTTTGGATCAAAGTTGTGAGAGGAAGTGGTAAGTCCAACCTTGGAACAAAGAAGGGACAGCTTTCAGGGACTAGGAGTAGTCATGAGGAAAGAAATTGAGCAGCAGGGCTGGTTGGGTACATGTTTGTTTGGTTGGAGAGGGGTAGTAGAGGGTTACCATAAACACAAAGGCTCCATTCAAATGAGTTTAACATTACTGCTTTTGCCGTTAAGACAATTTTAATTTGAATTGTGTTTCTCCCATCATTTAAACAAGGATTAAAAATCCTTACATGTCCTATGATTTAAGTTATTAAATTACTTGTGTAAGCTTTACTTTTTTTTTTTTTAAGGTTTGTGTGTAGAAGAATAACTGGGGTGTAGACCAGAGCTCTGTGTGTGTGTGGAGAGGTGGGTGAGAGGATTCACCAGAGCCAGAGTGGGGAGCAGAGCAGGTGGATTTACTGAAATACACTGCTAAAAGGGAGCAGGGGGTGAGACAAGAGAGGTCTGTTGCATCATTTGTGGGTTAGCTCCCTGGCTGGGGATGGAACTCAGGTTGTCATGGTAGCTCTGAGACCTAACCCCTAGGCCAGCAGGGAGGCCCTAAGCTTTTCTTTAGTGATTGAACCTCTAGGTCTTCCTGTAAATGTCTCTGCAGGGTTGAAGGCAATGGCAGTTTGTGTAAGGGAGAGTTGGCCTGAGCTTTTTCAACAGTGCACCTCAACAACCAGAAAGTAATTGTGTCTGCATCTTGGTCTGGGTAGTAGCCATGAGTGTGTTTATAGGTTCACTTCGTAACAGTTTATCAAGCTGTATATCTGAGATTTGTGCATTTTAAGATGTATATGTTATAGTTACAAATGTATGTATATAGTATGATATATAATTTTATGGCTAACCATAAAAATGAGGGAGCAGGTAGTGACTGGCACTAAATGTTTTGGATAGTAAAATTATGAATGAAAATACATCACTGATTTGGCAACAGGTGGTCGATGAACATCATTGTTGATCTTAGCAAGACATTTTTCAGCAGCAATAGATTGAAAAGTGAGATAAAAATGTCAAAAGATCATCAGTCACACTAAAACATCCTGTTGTCTGTGAAGACTAATATATGTAAACCTCTAATAGTGTGAATCAAGAAGAAAAAGAAATGAGGAAAATTAAACACTCTCCAGGGAATGAAAGGTGTGAACAGGTAGAAGTTGCTGGGCTGAAGAGAGGAGGGGTGGGTAGGGAAAAGGTGGATTTATGGAGGGCCCTGAGCCATGATAGGAAGGTCCTGGATCAGAGGTGAGTGGGAGGAAGCTGGCTTTCTGGCACCTCAGGCTCTTTCTTATTCATCTGATTAAGCAGTGAAGCTCAACTGGGTTTGTGGCATCCAGAAAAACCACACCACTTGTGAATTATTTTTGCTACTCACTCTCCATTAGTATTCTACTTCAAAAACTCTCTCGGTTCTCTCATCAATACTGCAGAAGATGTCTCACCGTAGCTATATATAGCAAGTTTCTTTTAATATGACCATGAAGCAGAGCTCACTATTTTCATCAATGTTTTCCACTATAAGGCATTTCTTATATCTAGGTTTTTTTGTTGGTGGTGGTAGGTGGTTTGTGTGTTTCAATAAAGATAACTGTTTATAGTCATATTCCAGAAATTTAAACTTTTAGAAAACTTCAGAGACTCCTACCTAGTCTCTGGCACTCAGGTATGTATGGAGTCAGGAAAAGCTAGTTGCTTAAGGGGGTATTCGGAAGGGACAAATGTGTCACTTGGTTAGGACTGAGACCCAGGTGAATGCTTATCAAGGGTTTGGTTTAACAGAGAATATGTCTGCCTCATCTGATGGGGCTTGGCGGCCACAACTCCATCAATCTGATATCCTCAGTTATTCTCAGGGAGGGGCCATTCCTCCACTGAGAAATAGAAAAGGGGTAAGTAGAAAAAGCATCCAAGGGTAGGGACATGGAAACTTCATAGCCTAGAAGCCGGTTATTGAGGACAGAAAATGATAGTTGAGGGCAGGTTAGTCTTGACACTTGACAGGTAAGCAACCCTTCATTTAAAATTGCTGGGTCATCTAGAAAGGAGCCCTGTTTTACTTGTAACTCTTTAATCTACTATTGAACTTTGCTCTGCAGGAAAACAGGCTGAAATTTAGAGAAAGCAGGGATTATACACATCTTCAGGCTGTTTATTATCTCCTATGGAAAGTGACCATGTTGCTCTCTTGTGACCTTATTTTCATGAACACATTAATTCTTCAACAAGAAGAATGCTTTATGCATCTTCAGTCAAGGCACTATACTAAGGGAACAAAATGTGACATGTAGTGTCTCACAAAGCTCATTGTTTGATTCCATAATTATTAACCCTTTGCACTCCGAACCATTCTGGACATTGGCTACCAGCTACTCGACGCTACTTTGCGGCAGAAACGTGCATTTACAGACCCTCGTATTATTTAGTATAATTTTGGAACCAAGTAACGTATTATAATGATATTGGACTTATATGAATTGGGTGACATCGAGGAATGTATATTTGCAAAAAAACCAATATTTTATTGTTTATAATTTTGTACAGTATGATAAGTTTTGTAACACTCCCCAATATGCATTGCAGGCTGATTAGTGCATGTTTGACATGTCTGTATAGAGGTCTATCTGGAGCTCATCTTCACTACTACTTGTGTCATGAGGCTCATTCGTGGTTGGATGCTTTGCCATTGTTCTAATAAAAATATGAATAAATGCATGGGTTGAAAATTTCTAATTGTTATTACTAACTGACAAGATGATATTTACCAAAATAGCTTTCACCAAACAATTTATTCACTAAGAAAAGAATCACTTTTCCAATTTTCTCCTCGTTAGATCTATGTGCACTGCTTGAAGCTTCAAACCAAAATGAGCTCAGCTTTGAAAATCTTTTCCTCCAGATGTAGACTTGTTTATTTGTAATTATATATCTCACTATACAGTGCGTGCTATGTTCGAAAACCGACCTTTCTTCTACAAACTCCCCTTATCGCTCTTTTCAAGTGGCGTCGCGAAGTGCTCAGACCGTCATGAGCACACATCTCACGTTCTCGTCCGACACAAAACCCGCTGACATTTCTTGTATATATCTTAGTAATTTTACGATATTTTGATTTAATTTCTTGTGCCATTTCAAGATAAAACTTCAGGGAAACATGCATGTCTCAAAAAGTTGCGTTGAAATAACTCAATTCCCCGTAATCACTAATAAATTGCAATGTCCCCTGAGAGGGGACATCCGAGTGATATGCTAGAATTCCGATGTCCCCTGAGAGGGGACAGTGGAGTGCAAAGGGTTAAGTCTTAGGAATTGAACATTTAAAGAAAAAACCTTTCCTTCTGATTTCTCATTCTATGGAAAGTATTTGCTATATTGAGCACACCTATCTTCTCTTAATGGGCTTTTGCACCATGACCATGGGTCATACATTTGGTATGCCATGAACAAAACATACACAATTAGATCATTGGTACTGTCATCAATTTAGGCCCTTCAGAAGTCAACATGGAACATTCAATGAAAGCTCAGAAGAAAGGTACCTGAGTTAGCCTCAAATGGGATGAGGGAGATTTCCCAAAGGACGTAACCTAAAAGCTGATCATTGAACAAATAGAAATTAGTAAGGCAAAGAATAGTGAGGAGGCTGAAAGGTGGGGCAGGACAACGTATCAGCTGTCAGTTTTTTGAACCCATGGTCCAGAGCTGGGAATAGCTCTCCTAACAACTCAGCTGGGCGCAAGTCTTATAGGATTATAATCTTTTCTCATTTTATTTATTAACAGGAAAGCTGTTTCCTATGTGATGGTGGGGCCAGCTGACAACCACACAATGGAACCCCCTGACAATTTCTTCCTTGTGGGTATCCCAGGTCTGCAGTCTTCCCATCTTTGGCTGGCTATTATGCTGACTGCCATGTATACTATAGTCCTGTTGGGAAATACCCTCATCATGACAGTAATATGCATGGATTCTACTCTACGAGAGCCCATGTACTGCTTTCTGTGTGTTCTAGCTGCCGTGGACATAGTTATGGCTTCCTCGGTGGTGCCCAAAATGGTGGTCATCTTCTTCTCAGGAGACAACTCCATCAGCTTTAATGGCTGTTTCATTCAGATGTATTTTGTCCATGCAGCCACAGCTGTGGAGACAGGGCTGCTGCTGGCCATGGCTTTTGACCGCTATGTAGCCATCTGTAAGCCCCTACACTACAAGAGGATTCTCACCCCTCAAGTGATGCTGGGAATGTGTGTGGCCATCACCATCAGAGCTGTCATATTCATGACTCCTCTCAGTTGGATGGTGAGTCACCTACCTTTCTGTGACTCCAAAGTGGTTCTCCATTCTTACTGTGAGCACATAGCTGTGGCCAAGTTGGCATGTGCCAACCCCATGCCCAGTAGTCTCTACAGTATGATTGGTTCTTCTATTATTGTGGGCTGTGATGTGGTCTTCATTGCTGCGTCCTATAACCTGATTCTCCGGGCAGTATTTGGTCTCTCTTCAAAGAACGCTCAGTTGAAAGCATTAAGCACATGTGGCTCCCACATGGGTGTTATGGCTCTGTACTACCTGCCTGGGATGGCGTCCATCTACGTGGCCTGGATAGGGAAGGGCACAGTGCCTTTACACACACAAGTGCTGTTAGCGGACTTGTACCTGGTCATCCCACCCACCTTAAACCCCATCATTTATGGCCTGAGGACCAAACAAATAAGGCAGCAAACACTGAGTTTGCTGATGAGCTGCCTCTTTGGCCACCCCAACCTTGGTTCATGAACCCAAAGTCTGGTCAGACCTTGAGCATTCCATCCAACATCGAAGACGCCTCAGAGATCTGTGGAGGTGGTTTGGTTCACCTGGTGCCACAGGATATCCTGTGTAAAGGATATCCTTGCATCATTTTTCAATTTTTAACAAGAACATGAAAGAAATAACTAATTTCCTGACAATACTTTTAATGGTTTAATCAACTAGTATCTGAATCAGAGATAAGTTTGGGCAGAGAAGATATATTTAGGGTTTTTCTTTTCTTATCTTATTACCTATTATTTCTAATTTAGTGTCCTACTAGTTTCAGAAGAAATCAACTGTTTGACCACTGTACACCTAGATGATTTTCTCAGGTTATATGGAAGCAACTGTTAACATATGACCCTGCCTTGTGGTCCAATGATGAGTCCATTAAATTTGGCTCTTGTGTGCAGACTTGCACCAGAGTCCTTCTCCAGTCAAAGTGGATTTGAGTTTATCTGAGGAGAGAACTTGGGACCACTGATGGAGGCCTTTTTCCAACACATGAATTTGGGAAGAACCTGTTCCTCTTCAAGGGAGGCAAATTAACAAAATGAGATGAATAAACTGAGTCTCTGGTTAGTTTATTTTGGACACCCAGGTATATCCCTATTATTAAGTTCCATAAGATTCCTCTTCTTTTCCTATATTCCCTATTGGTAAGCAGTTGAAATCAGTGTGTATAATTACCACTCTTCTGTTTCTGAGCAGAAGCTATCGGGATGTGAGTTTGGTTTTGGGCATTTTGTCTCTGCTTTCTAATCTTGCTTAACTCTAAGACCCAAAAGGGATCAGATACAACACACGTCTTTCTTCTTTTGGATACATTAATGGAAAATAATATCAATAATGAAGCTGAAATGTCACTACTCCAGATACTTACTTGGCTTTTGTTTTTATTTTCCCCTTTCAGAAAGTCTTAAATGGAATAATCAGTGTATGTTAAAAGATTTTATATATAAGATACATATATTTAATTCTGGTACACTTGGAAATCTTAATTAAAGATAATTTCCTAAGTGTTGATAATAAGTTTTCTGAGTTCTAGTATCTCCTCCTAGTTGGGGGAAACAATGCTAATTCATAGAGTACTGAAAACAACAAATATAAAGCATACAATGTAACACTGATATAGTTTAAAAGTATAGGCAATAAATTTCAAATTCTGTAATTTTAAAGGTAGTTTTAGGCACTATTGAAACTGCAGTTCTGATCAGTACTTGTGATAATTGTAGACTTGTTATTCAACAACTAGCATTCATACCTTGTGCTAACACTGGGCTTGTTTACCTACCAGAATGTACTCTATCCTTTTATACCTGTATTAGGATTTAGCCTCTAAAAATCTGATAATGACGCACTGAATTCCCAAAGTATAGTAAAGAACTCTTCTCCCTGTGCAACCCCTAACCTAAAAACAAATTAAGATCAGGAAGCAGTTAAGCATTTTTGATAAGATTTCATTTTGCAAAGTCATATAATTCTTTCTCCATAAGCAACCCCAAGAGTCGACTATGATATGCACTAAAGAAACTGAGGTAAGGTGACAAAGGTATGGTCCAACCTGTGCCCTAAACAGAAATTGTTCCCCAGCATTTCCGCTGGAAGCCTGACCTGCTGGCTCTGTATTCTACCATCACTGGTATTCCCTGAAACTACCTGGGACCCACTGTTGGTACTCAAATATTTATTGCATTACATATTTCTAAAGTAGACTGGCTCCCTCCCATGGCTACCCCAAAACATACAATCCTGGACTTCTCCAAATATATTCAGATCTGACCCCTGTTCTATCACATGAAGCAGTGCGTACTCAGTTAACTAGTGCCTGGGACCCACAGTAGATGCGATGCTTGAATATTAAGACATTACAACCAATCTTGCTCCAAAAGAAGTGCTACTGGATCTCCTGTGGGGAGTTATAAACCCAAGGATTTGCCCTGTCTCTTCCCTTCAACCTTTTAGCAGCCTTTTTCTTCACTGCTCAGGCTCTGCGTCCCTTGATTTCTCTGAGAGTAAAACAGGCAGGGGCAAAACTCATCCCTACCTTGTAGTGAATGATCACACCAAGGTGCTGGCCATCCGAAGCAGTCCAGGGAAGGTGCTGGCACTGTGTTCTCTACCTGCCTGCTTCTTCCTCTTCTGGCCTACTTTTGTAATTATTCCTTAAATTAGTTTTGAACAAGATTATAACTAAGCGGCATTCAGTATTTCAAACATCTATGAGGCAGAAGAGTTAATTTCTGTTTTGATTCTAGACATATGAAAGAAAATTCCCTCACTTAAATATTTATCAACACATCACTAGACTCACTAGATCTAGTGACTCCTGTCACTAGACTCACTAGATCTGGTGACCCAGATCTCTGTCTTCATGGGGTTCTTACAAGGGAAGTATAAACAACTACCCTCGAGAAAAGGGTTTTCATATCTATGAACTCCAATTTTCTTGCCTGCTCTTAAAAAATCAGACAATTGGAAATAAACAATGAAGCATCATTTAACCTTGTAATCATTCTAACAAGTAATGATAACATGTAAATTAGCTTATATCAAAAACAACAAAAAGAACAATAGCACATTATAAACAAGGTCATCCTGCCCCTTAACTCATCTTGATTTCAAAGAATTTATCACCAAATAATGTACCTTTTCTAGAAACCTTCCAAGATGTGTCCTAATAAAACCATAGTAAAAGAATACTACCGACTGGACCAGTAGCTTCTTCTGCTAAGTGTCCATGAACATAACTGGAAGAGCTCCCTAAGGACCTACTTTTCACATCCCTATGCAAAGATTTATGTCCCACTAATACAAGTCAGCTCTACCTCTGCCAAGACCAGATTTGTGGGTGAGCAGTTCATTCCCATCCAAATGGCAGATGGACGGAGACTTCTCCCCATCTACTGTCAATACTAAAGGATCAACTTAGAAGCATGTGGGTAGAATGAGTTTTTTTTTTTAATTTGGCTTGTTTCACTTCCTTCACAGGGGACTGACTAGCCAATACAATTAAGGTAGGGACTATTTTTGCTATTCTTTATTACAGCCATTTGGAACTGCTAAAATACAAGGCTAGTATCTACTCTGCTGCCAATCCTAAACCCCAAATCACTCCCTTCAAGTTTAAACCATATGGAAGATTGTGTTACACAGCATCACGGTGACAATGGCATGTTGTACTATTGTAGTCCCTTGCAATAAGCAACGCCAGTAATTCTCATGAGCTTGCCTTGCAGTTTGTTAGTTTCCAGCCACAATCACAAGACCTGGGGTGAACTGTTTTTGCCACACATAACAATCAGTCTAAGATCAATGGCCCAGATGAATAGTATGCATTTTGAGCACAGTCATATTTCTTCTCAGACTCCCCTCCCCCATTCCTCTTTATATCACAGATTTAGAGGAGACAGAAGCAGGGAGACTATTTCAGCTACCAGAACCACAGACTTTCTTGGTGACATGAAAAGATCCAAACTTTAGCTCAGCCAGCTTGTGGGAGAGGCGTCCTTGCTGTCATTTGTTTTATTTTTTCTTTTTACTATCTTTATTCTCTACCCTGAGGTCCCGTCCCCATCCCAATTCAAAGACAACAGACAGAATATATTCCTATGGGCTGGAGTTCGCCACTGGCATGGGTGCATTTCTGTCTAAAGGGCCCTAGGTGGCTTGCAGAGAGACTCTAGGGAGTGAAGGCACTGCTGTAAAGATGGAAGATGCTGGCTGTCCAAAGGTGAGAGAGGAAGGTCCCTACATGCAAACCCATGGCTTGCCTTCCTCGGCTCTTGAGACAGGAGCAAAAGTATGAGATAGATCTAAGATATTCACATCGATCCTGGGAGTCAGGAGAGCACACACTGACTATGCACATTTCCCACTGAAGACACTGAGCACCTTCCAAACATGGGGGCTGATCCGGACCCTTGAGTAATGAGTGATACATACAGACATGCGACCTGAGAAGCGAGTTTGTCAATCCTGTTTCATTTCAGCATGAGAAACACATTATAATCTTTACAATCTTCTTTTAATAGCTCTGTGAGGAATAACTTCTGCATTGAGGCCATTTCAGTTTCTTCATCCATAAAGCGAAAACAAAAATACGGCTCAGGGGTTTTCTGATTTTGTCATGTAAGAGAAAAGGGCAGGGCTGGGATCCGACTTTTTATAGAGTTTGAGACCAAGTGATTTGAGTAACTTGCCCAGCTCATGGCTAGCGAGAGCATGGCCACTGGGGTGGTCTGGGCAAGCCCCATACCCTTTGCTGCAATGCATTTCTCTAGTCAAGAGGTCAGGGAGCTGGAGTCAAAGCAGTTTGCTCAGTAGAGGTCAGGGAGCTGGAGTCAAAGCAGTTTGCTCAGTAGCAGCAAACCTCAGGTGCTTCTGGTACCAACTGGTACCAGCATAGCCACCACTCTGGAAATGGACTGTTTGGCTTGTTGGCTAACCCCACCCAAAGGGTTCCCTGGAGGATGGACCCACATCCTCATCCTCACTGACTTAATTCTGACAACGGCAGGGAGGGGGGAAATGGGGTGTGAACTACAGAGAGGTCAGCATCCTGATCCTTAGAACTGCTCTGACCCTTACCATCAGCCCTGTCATCTTTCCCTCACCAAGGCGTGGTGCTCATTTGACTGTGTCTGAGGCTTAGTGAGAGAATTTGGCCCAGTAGCACCAGACCACTGGGTCAGACAAAGCTACCCCTGGGTTCTTGCTCAGCTCAGTTCAAGGGGACGCTTGTCAGTGGCAGGTCCACCAAGTCCCCTACGGGCAGGAGCAACTCTAAGGCCTCTTGCTGGGAGGGTGGCTCTCCTAGTCCTCCCCATCCAGGGTGCAGATGGCCAGAGGCACGGTGTTGTTAGTGTCAATGCTATAGCAAGGGCTAAAATAGGGCAGGAGGCGCCCGGGGAAGGGGTCGTGGGGGAATGTGAAAATGTGGGAGTCATTGTCTGTCACATTGTAGAAGGAGATCTCATGGGCTTCGTAATCCAGGAAGACTCCCACCCGGCAGGGAGGCACTGACAGGGACAGGAGCGGGTACTCATTGGTGCCTGCCCGGTACTCATTTCCCTTCCTCAGCCTTATCACCCAGAATCCACAGTGTGGGGATAAGTAGACCTCCTCCTTCCGATCCACATTCTCCTTACACACTCCCAGGCCCCATTCAGACCTGTCTCCCACCTCCACCTCCCAGTAGTGCCGGCCTGAGGAGATGCACTGACTGCCCAGGACGATATTGTAGCGGTAGAACCGCTCAGGGTTGTCTGGCAGGTTCTGCTTGGTGTCTCCATAGTGCACGCATTTTCTGTCCTCTGACACGATGAGGTGGGAATAAGCAGTGTCTGGATCCAGGCGCACATCAGCTAGGGAAAAAGATCCGCTTGTGAGCTGACAGAGAGCCAGCACGCCTGGGTGTGGTCTCCCGATTAGTACAACCACAGGTTCCTCAGCGATGAGATGGGGGTTGGATGGGGCATCCAGAAGACACTGAACTGTTTTATTCCCCAGGAGGGTCCCTCCCACTGCTCATCACAACCTCCGCCAGCACCATTACCTGCATATGACCGCAGAATCTTTTTTAGTCCCAACACACGGCAATCTGTCTTCAGCTCCAGGGAGACTGGCTCTGGCCGCTGCAGGCTCCACGACTTGCTCCTGGTAGAGGAGGAATAAGCCTTGGGGCCGGAAGTCCTGGCTCTGCACCTGGGCCTTCCCTTAGCATGGGGAGGGAGTTTGGCCAGGGATCTAGTCAGTGAGGGACCAGGCAAAGCAGAGCTGTGATGGTTTTCTGACTGGCTTTAAGGGCATGTAGAAGTGAGAGAACCATCACATTCCTATGCTGTGGGAGGGGTGAGAGGTCCACCTGACAGCAGGAGGGGAAGAGGTGTAATGCAGGGGAGAGGCTGGTGCTTGGGATTTAGAGCATCGCCGAAGGACACACTGCAGTCTTCTCCCCAATCTTGGGGGAATCTACTGGAAACCATGTGTTTTGCAAATTTACCCGAAATTCTAATTGGGACAACTGGAAATAAAATTGACCATGTACAAAGATGAAAAAAGGTGAGCAAAGCTTTAGCCAAGACCATGAGAGAGAAGGTTATGGGCCAGCACGTGTTTTCTGTAAGTGCGGGGGTCCCTGTTCCTTCCCCACTTCTGGCTCTGGCCAGACCTCACTTTCCCTTACCAGACTGTGAGGGGATCCAAGGATGGGCACATACCTATTTAAGACTTCATGAATATCCTAGAAAGAGAAAAATAATCAGGACATGAGTATGTGCTATTCCTCAACGGGATTAGACAGACACTGAGCCACAGGGCTGGGTGGGTTACCAAGGGAATGTGACACAGAGAGTAAGGTGGGAGAGAAGGCACCAGAGACACGCCCACAGGAGGGAAGCAGAGCGTGCTGAGCTCTGGTTGGCATGTTGCCAGAGCTACGTGAAGTTGCCCCATCTATGAGGCACCAGGACAGGCATCCATAGGGGGTAGTAATCTCGGCGGTACACAGGATCCAAGCCTGCAGGTGCAGTGCTGTCAGGGCCCACTGAAGACTAGCTAATCCTCTCTTCCGGAGTCCCAGGCTCTCTTCAGCTCCCACTCAGGGTTCCCAAGAAGCCCTGCTACTCACCTTCAGCATCCAGCGGACAGGCCACTGGGACCTCTCTTTCAGCTCCTCAATCATCCTCCACAGGACCTGGCTCTGCTCGGTCAGCTTCTCATGACTTAGTTGCAGCTTCTGCATGGTCTCCCTTTCCTCCTGCTCCAGGCTGGCCAAAGCTGCGGATGCCTCTGCCTCTAGCTGCCGACCTGGGGGCTGCTTGTTCTCTAGTAATCTCCGATACTTCTCAAACTCCCACATGACACTCTGCTTCCGGGTTTCCACCTGCATCTGCAGAGCCATGACTGGAATCAGACTGATATTGTTTGCATAAAGGTCTCCCAGGATTGAGCACACTGGCATATACATGCTCACATGGTCTAGAATGTTTTGGTATCAACCGTGTGCTATGCATTGCAGAGATCAAGGACATGAGTTTTCCTGCCTTTCTGTTCCCATAGCTTCAGCACCTGCTGTTGAGCCCTGATTCCTACTCCTATTGATCCTGGGAGGGTCCAAAACATTTCTTGGTACTATATACTCCAGACTTTTCTATTTTCAGAATAATGATGATAGCTACACTTAAGAATCTAAGACAGTGTAGTTTACACTATTAGATGTTTTTGCTTCTTACTGGTACTGTATCAATTCAACACACTGTTTTAGGCTGGTTCAACATTACCTTCTACTGATCAAAATTTTTGATGGTTTGGTAGTTATGGACCTCAAATTTCAGAGATGATTTTCTAATATTTAATAACTCTTGGTAAATATGTTCTAACTGGGGAAAATGAAACAGAAACTATGCTTTAGTAAGTATTGCACAAGTTATACCACTGTGATCTAATGCCTAAGTGAGGCACATGCTTTTCCTTTCTCACATATAAGGGCTTAGGCCCAGGGGTTATCCCTACATCACAATCAGGAAACTGGAATTGAGGGGGTACATGGCCTATGAAGGCCACACACCTGGTAAAGAAAGCTGGTATGTGAACCACAGGCTCTCCGATTTCAAACCCCACTTCCTGCCTGAGAGATGAGGAAGCTGCCAAAGGCCAGCTCCAAGATCACACAAGGTTCATACAAACTCTGTCCCCCTGGTAGCAACCTGCCTTCCAGTTGGCAGTTCGTTTCTTCTCACCAACTTCCAGCTTCCAGGCATCTTCTTGCTCTTTCCTCAGATGTTCCAGAGCCTCATGGAGTTTCCACTGGAAGAGATGAAACACTCATGAGGCCCTCTCAGGCAGCCCAGTTTGATAAGACTTCCTCGCACTGTTGGGTAATGAGAAACAAGTGTCCCTCAGGTGATGGGCCAGTAGAATCCTGGGAGAGAAGGCAAGGACATAAAGATGGGATTCCTGCACAATGACATTCAGTGTAGCTCTCAATCTGAGAATCATTTAAACTCCTACATTCTGTCAGTTTCCTTAAAGTAGGTCTATTTCCAAGCTTGCCAGAAAAGTACCTTTGATTTTCCTTCCCATGCCTATTTTTATCCTTATATGCTGTGTTAGCCTATTACCTCACAAAACCTTGCTATTCAAAACAGATCAGCATAACCTGGGAACTTGTTAGACGTGCAGGCTGTTGGGCCTCACCCCAGACCTACTGAATTAGAACCTGAATTTTAGGAAGATCCTTGGGTGACTCACTTGCATATTAAAAGAAGTACTAGCCTAGAATATTAATATAAGAGATTACTATTGGAAAGCACAAAGTATTCTGATAATAACATTAACCACTTTAGTAAAGATTTACCAGGTGTCACATATGGCTTAAGCACTAAATACACCATTAATACTCCAAACCTCTTGAGATTTGTATTCTTCCCATTGTACAGATACAAAAGCAGACTAAGAGACTTACTCAAAGTCATTCAGTAGGTAAATGGTTGGGCAGAGGTTCAACCCAGCTTCTTAACTGCCATATTATACTGCCTCCCTATTATAAATCTCTCAGAACAAACTTAATAAGTACTTTTAATTTTTTACAATGCTTCTTGAATAGAAAAACAGCTACCTTCTAATTTCAACTTCAAGACAGAGAATTAAGACTAGTACTGGATTGGTGGATCACAGAATTATGGGGATATTGAGATTCTGAGAAAGATGTCAGCATGGGCAACTGAAGAGAGATTTAGAAGCTTGAAGTAGATGAGGGTAGCTACAAAAAAGCAGTGTTAGAGGTGGCTTTTCAAAGGAGAAAGGGAAAGGAGAAAGAATGCTGGTCAATGAGCAAGAAGAGCTGAGTTGTAGCTTTTTTTTTAATTATTTATTTATTTTTTCAAGATTTATTTATTTATACAAGCACTGGGTACAGTCAGAAGCGCGGGAGGGTGAGAGAATTCACTAGAGCCAGAGCGGGGAGCAGAGCAGGCAGAAGGACTGAAGTACACTGCTGAGGGGAGCAGCGGGAGGTGGGAGAGGTCTGCGCGCCATGTGGGACCCTCCTCCAGTGGCCGGGGAGCAGCCTGGGATCGAACCAGCACTGCAGAGGTTGCGGGCAGCTTTGCATCCAGTGCTCAACCGCTACGCTACAGGGGAGGCCCCGAGTTGTAGCTTTTATTCTCCATTTGACTAACAAAGTGAGAAGGAACCTTAGCACGTTAAACAATCTCACTACAGCACTCCCTGATGGTCCTTACCAGTTTGAAAGCCAACTGTCAGGATCTCAAATTTCTAAGGGTCACTTCTGTCTATGAGGGAGTTAAAGTGTCTCAGTCAATGTCAAGTGACTGTAGAACTGTTACAAAGAGGGTTGTAGGTTCTGATAGGTGCAGTCTTGACTACTACTCAGGCCCAAACTCATCTGAGGCACCCAGAACCCCAGCTCAAACAAACTGGGTCTTGAAATTCTTAGCAAGGAATGCATCTCTGGATTAGGCATTAAGCCACATTGCAATCTGGTGTGGATGTGGGAGTGAATGCAAGGTGAGGGGGGGACTGTATCAGGTGCCAGGGATTTGTGGGTGTCAGAAGCCAAAGGAATCAGCGTACCCTGATCAACTCTCTGACTTAGATATAGTTAAGTAAGGGGTGGAGGAGAGACTGAGGTGCCAACCTCTACCTCCTACCTTATACTCCCAGGCAACATCTTCCATGGGCACGACACTGTGGGCGTCATGCTTGGGGGAATGGCTGCAGGCCTGGCACATGATCAGGCCATCCTCTCTGCAGAACACCTTTAGCTGTTGCCCATGGACCTCACACACGTCGCCCTTCAGCCCCATTTCTGGACGCAGTCCTAGTAGCCGGACTTTTTCTACCACATTGGCCAGTTGCCAATTAGGCCGCTGGTTACTTGGCTCAACAGGTGCCCGGCAGAGTGGACATGTGTAACTCCAGTTCTGAGACTCCCCTGGCACCTTCCAGAGTCCAGAGAGACAGCTCTGGCAGAAGCTGTGGCCACAGTCAATGCTCACAGGCTCCCTGAGAAAGGTCATGCAGATGGGACAGTCCACTTCTTCCACAACAGCTTCCACCAATGCCGCAGGATCCATGGCTCCTTCTCATACCCTCCTCAGAACGTAAACAAAACCACACAGTAGTAGTGATGACTGAAAAGAAAAAATAAGAGAAAAAAGAAACAAAAGCAGAGGGATCAGTAAAAGGATAATTAATGACTAAAAAAACCAACTTTCTTCTATGGGTCCTTTATTGACCTTGTTTAATAAGCACTTCCCAACTGGGTTATGTTACTCACGGCACAGAGGGGTATCTGGGGATGCCTAAGCAAGTGATTGTAGGATGTTTAGTTCCTAAACCCAGAAAGCTTTTTTTTAAAATAAATTTTATTTTTATATTCCCTATACAATTGCGACCCCCTTATTTTGACCCCAATCCCTCCCCTCCCCACACCCCACCCCCTATAGAATGTCTCTGGTTCATAGTTTTTTTGTTGATTTTGATTTTCACTTTCTTATAGTTATTCATTTTCCTGGTCCCTTATTTAAGTTTTCTAAATTCCTGATATGAGTGAGACCATCCGGTATTTTTCTTTTTCTTTCTTAAACCCAGAAAGCTTTTATACTGTTGGGTAATTGAGAGCATATCATCATCATCATCATAATAGAAGGCACTTCTTGAGCATATTATTGGCCAGGCACTATTCCGGGCATTTCAAATGGATTAATTCAGTTAATTTCACAATCCTAAGTAGAAATCATTTATTTTACTGTTCTCATTTTACAGATGCTTGGTGCTGGGCTCCATCATTCTCTCTTGGATAAATTACTCAACCTTTTTAGCTTCAAAGTATGACAAAAATCCAAGAGGAGAAAGATAACACTGTGGTTTAGGGTAGTCCAATAAGGCTTCCTGAAAGTGAGGCAGTAAGCAAATTTTGAGGATTCTTCTAGGGGATGTGCAGATCATGCCTTTGCTCTGGCCTCTCTGCTTCCTGCTTTTCTTCCTTCCTTTATAATGACCAATTTATAAGGTCTAGCATCCTAAACTTAGTCACTAACCTAGGGAAGAGTATACTGGTATGCTGGTTCCTCAGCACCCCAATAGGAAATTCTCTCTCTCCACCCTGAAACTGATTCTGTGTCCAGTCAAGCAAAGGGAGAAACGGCCACACTTTCCAACAGACCCCATTCCACTCACTACAGCCCACAGGGTTCCTGCTGCTTTCTTAGCTTCAAATGACCTATATGCAACTCTGCATTTAACTGACATGTACTGCTTTCCACCTTACTTCCCACACTGTATGTTTCATGAAGACAGGGACACTATTTTGTTCACTACTACTTCTCCAATGCCAAGAACATTGCCTCCAATATTTTTGAATACATGAGAATTAAATGTAAACGATGAGGTCCAGATGATAGTATGTTGGAAATGGAAGTGTCTATATCCTCATCTAATTCAAAAAGGCAGCAGACTTTCCACCTAAAGTTGACACAACAGAAGCTGATGCCTATCACTGGAAGCTACAAAAACACATAGTGAAAGCAGCAGTTTTAAACCGAGAAGATGGTGCCAATAGGAAAGTGGGGTAAAGAAACACCAAACGATAAACCAAGAATGGTGCAACAAGCATATTATGCATATTATGTAGATGAACAGGATCATAAAAAGATTAATAATAAGCTTATTAATAATAAGCTCTAAACATGAATAAGTTAAAAGTGGTTGCTTTGCAAGGAGGATGTAGGAGCGGATAGCTATTGCTCTTCAATATAAGACCTATTTTAAACGTTTAATTGCTTTCACTGTGCCCAGCTGGGGGCCAGTCTGGGAAAGACTTCCGTGGGGGTAGGAAAAGGCTAGAGGGAGGACTAAAGGGAGGATCGCTGCGGGGAGAGGGGCGAGGAGAACGTGCGGGGTTGGAGAGCAGGGGGGCGGCCGACCTCAGGCCGCAAGTGCCGGGCAGGGCCGGGGGCAGCAGGCGGGTGAGCCTCGCAGGAGGGTGAGCCTCGTAGGGCGGGTGAGCCTCGCAGGAGGGTGAGCCGCCCAGGAGGGTGAGCCTCGCAGGAGGGTGAGCCTCGCAGAAGGGTGAGCCTCGCAGGAGGGTGAGCCGCCCAGGAGGGTGAGCCTCGCAGGAGGGTGAGCCTCGCAGGAGGGTGAGCCGCCCAGGAGGGTGAGCCTCGCAGGAGGGTGAGCCGCCCAGGAGGGTGAGCCTCTCAGAAGGGTGAGCCTCGCAGGAGGGTGAGCCTCGCAGGAGGGTGAGCCAGCAGGACCGCAAACTTCGGAGGTGGCACGGGGGTCGGCTGTTACCCACCTTCCTCCTCAACCCGGACCAGCGCTTGGAGGACGAGGACCGCGAAAACGGAGACGCTGGTTCCCACGGCCGGCGTCCCAGCTCCGGAGGCGGCGGGTCCGGCCCGTACAGCACGCACGGTTCCCGGCGACCCGGGCTACAGCTACTTCCGCTCCAGGCGAGGCCCTGAGGGTTTCCGGGGTCCCGCCCCCACCGCGGGAGCCAATGGCCGGCCGAGGCTGAGTACAGGGATCCGCCCACCCGGAGGCGCTTTGTAGGAGCAGCCAATTGTAGACAAGGATCCGGGCGACGCTAGCCAATCGGAGGCGGGGAAGTAGACTGCGCACCTCTGAGCTGGCGGTATATATGTGGGGGTACCTCGCATTTTCCCAGTTTTCCTCCACACCCAGGACCCCTTAAATTGAAAAGGGGCCTGGAGTCAGCTCTGGGGCGAGTCCGATTGAGGATCTTGCTATTCAGGCTTTACATTAGCAGAGACTCAGCTGACCTTGTGACTCACGCTTCCACTTTGGCTGCTCATAACTCTCCGGAGAACCTTGTTCCTTCCGGTGACAACATTGGATAAAGCAGTTCATTTAGGGGCCGCCCTGGTGGCGCAGGGGTTAAAGTCAGCACTATCAACTTATGAACAGCCACTGCAGCATGAGTTCCATCCCGGGGCAGGGAGATACCCACATGGCGCTGTAGTTCTCTCCTGTCTGGTCTGCGGCTCCCCTCAGCAGTGTATTCAGTAGATGCACCTGTTACTGCTCCCCACTCTGTCTCTGGTGAGTCCTCTCACCCCCACCCAACCTCTGGCCTACACCCCCACTTCTTGTGTGTATTTAAAAAAAAGTGCAACGGATTAAGATGCAACCTGTGAAGCTGTTCATAGCCACTGCAGCACGAGTTCCATCCCCGGCCAGGGAGCTACCCACATGGTGCGGCAGACCTCTCCTGACTCACCTGCTGCTCCCCTCAGCAGTGCTTTCGGTCCGTCTGCCTGTTCTGTTCCCCACTCTGTCTCTGGTGAATCCTCTCACTCCCCTCCCCCCACCACACCTCTGGCCTGTGCCTCAGCTCTTGTATGCACAAATAAATAAATAAATCTTTTTTAAGAAAAAAAGCGTATTGGGACCCACAGGAAAGGAGCAGAAGGGACCAGCATGTCTGGGAATAGAAGGAGCACAATGAAAATTGAGATAAAACCCGCCATTGTTAACCTCCCCACTGGTCACTCTCACCACATCTATTTCAACCAGTCCAAGACCAAGAAACAAGCGCAGCTTCTTCATATGTCTCTCTGCTCCGTGTGCCTCCTTCAGGTTTCTTTCTGGCTCTATTCGTCTTCCTTCTTTCCTCCAGTCTCTTCTTCTACTCCCTGCTCAGCTTCACCCGTCCCTGGGTGGGGCAGGGAACCTGGAACTTTCTCTTTCTCTGGGAACCACCCCTTTACATTTGTAATACTTTCATTTAGGCAGTGGAAGAGCATCAGGGATGAAGGAGGAGGCCTAGAAGCTAACACCTAAAATTCGGTTTAGAAAAGGTGGAAATCTTTTTTGGAAGTGCTCCTGAGTTACTGGGGACCAACCACTGGATGCAAGAGGAGAGTAGAGTCACCAAGAAAACATATTTAGGCTTAGCTGTCCAAAGAGGGGGTGGGTAGGGAGGTGGGAGGGGGTGGAGTGGGTGGTGTGGAGTAGAGAAAAGAGAGCCACTCTGGAAGCAAAGGGATGGAGCAGGAACAGTAGAAAGACCTAGCGAGAATGTGGTGGGACAACTTCTGTGTGAAATGCCATGAATGGGAATATAGCAGTATATATGTGTGGAGTGTAGGCTGGAGGAACCCTGACGAAGACCCAGCACCTGTAAGAGATGCCAGGTCGTTGAGTACACATTTATTAAAAAAATGACATTTGAGAGATTCTTACACATAAAATACACTACGGTGAAAGCTTAATTGTGATAGAAAGCATTGAAGTAGCAGGGTAATTTCAGTGTATCTGGGACTTAGCATGCAGGAAGAGAGGTATACTCCTTGGAGATGGGGATAGAGAGATGGACTGAGATGGTTGACATGCATTATGAGCTGGACTGCTGTGAGCATGAACTTCAACCTGTCATTCTAAGGCCACTGGGAGGATGCTACGAACTGATTTGTGTTTGGAAGACTATACTGGCCATAGTGTGGACAGTAAATTGGTAAGAAATATCTTTATTTGGTGACCAATAAACAAGTTTTACTGATGATGATCAAGTCAAGAGATAATCTTGGCTTGGACTGGAGTAAAGGCAAAGGAGATACAGAAAAAATCACCTGATTCACAAGATATCCAGGAGGCAAAATAAAGAGGACTTGGTGACTGGCTGGGTCTGGTTGGAGAGGCAGGTGAGAGAGAGAGGGTGAAGGTAGAGAGGATGGCGTCTAGATTTCTGGCTTGGGTAACGGAATAATTTCTGTGATAGGGAATATAAAACATAGATTGGGGGCATGGACTGAGGACCAGAGACAATCAGTTTATTTGGAGGCACTGTATTTGAGGTGCTGAGAGACACCTAAATGGTGATGTTCAATAGACAATACAGCACCATGTTTGTAGTTCAGAATATTGGCCTAATTAAATGAAGGAAACTCTGGGACCACGTAACACATTTAACCCTCTAGACATGACTTTGTGATGGTGAATGGTCTACTTGGGTCATTGTCTTGAACACCACTGGGAATGTGACAAATAAAGGACAGGGAACCTCTCTACCATTCCATCTTATTGATATTTAATAGCATTCGATCCTGTTCTAGGTCCAGAATATACATTAAAAAAAACTCTCCTTACAGCTATCAATTCTTCATGTAGTGTCCATTTTATTCCTTTTCTTCACATACAGACTTCCTAAAAGGGTAATCTACTTCTACTTTCTCCATTTCTTTCCAACACCCTCCTCATGTTGCTGCGTTCAAACTTCTATTCCCACTAACCTGTGGCAACAGTTCATCTCAGGTAACCTTTAACATTTTATTTTGTGTGTATACTGCTTGATCTCTCAGCAGCCTTCTCTACTGCTGTCCACTCTTCCTTCCCAATGTATTTTCTTCCTCTGACTGTGTAGCTCTATCTCAGCTAGAGTTCCTCCTACTTCACTGGCTCTTCCAATTGTTTCGGCACTAATAGTAAGCATCAACATTCATGAGAGAATTGCTAGTAACTCATTTTGTTTTTCACATCCAACTGAGGCTAGTGTTGGTCATACCATTAGTAAGAAGTTGGACTCAGATTTGGACTCAAGTCTGAGTCCTGACAGAACCCCACATTTCAACAACCACTCTCAAAAGTTTTATTTCTGGGAGGACAGGAGAGTCATGATTAGAAACAGGAGAGTTGTGATTAGAAAGGAAGAAAGGGTTGGCTTGAGAGGGAGGGAGAGCTAAGGCGCTGCGTGGGGCAGTGGGAAGAACTCAGACTGACAGATCCTCTGTCCTTGAATTATCCTGAGTCATCACCCAATTGCCAGGAGACTGCAACTCCCATATGAGACCACAAGGGGGCAGCATCAAGAAGCTGAGGGGAAACCTGCCCGGGATCCTCATGGATAGCGCATTCTGAGCATAAATGTGTCTGTGTGCTTTCTGGTGCGAGCCCACACCACTATTCCACTAGCTCTTCTCTTCCAACGCCTGTCATTCCTGTTGTCTCCCACTTCAGGGCACTTCCCTACCTTCTAGACTGAGCTGGTTGGAGTTAGCTATCTTGGGGCCCCAGAGCAGAGCTTTTCTCCAAGGGAGCCCTGGTAACTCACTCTTCACCATCCCCCACAATTCTCTAGGGCTTCAGAGAAGTTATATATATCCAGCAGCCTGGATTGGCCAGACAGGAAGGACTAGTGAGCTGTGGAGCCGGCCTCTGTGCAGACAACCTGGTGGTTTGGGGACATCTGTCAGCTGCATACTTACCAGATTCCAGCTGCCTAAGTTCCAAACCTTATTCAGTGATCTACCCAACGAGGACTTTCTTCAAACCATGTGAGGCCCATTCCAATCTTTGTGTATCCTTTATGCCAGGAAAGACCCCTGAATCCAGACTCCTACCCTTCACTGAAGAAACAAGGTGAAGGGAGTCCATTTACCCAGAGAAAAAGACTCGTGTGGTGGTAGTGATTGGTAATGAAGAAGGAAACTGAGAAGCTAGGTTGGAAAGTTAATTCAAAACACCATGAAAGATCTTGAATGCAGACAAAGGGGTTCCAAGTTCATCTTGAAGGCTATGGGTGACTTGCTCCTGGTAACTTGCTAGAAAGGAGCCTGTCCAGTTTTACTGTGTGCATGAAAATGATGTGGGGGGTGGCTTGAGATAAACTGGACTGGCTGGCAGGAAGGTGTGTTAGGAAGTTCTTTTCATAATTGAAACAGAGTGGGTATAATATCATGCTATAATTATATGTTGTAATGATATGATATGAGGTTTGGGAGGGAGTCAGGGAGGGTGTGTTAAGTAAGAGGAATGACTATAGTAGTTTCATTAGAAAAGCAAAATCATGCCTGGAGATAAAGGGCAGGGAAATGAAGATGGGGCTAGCTGCCCTGATCTGGATAGATTGGGGGGTCAAGTTGTAACATTTGGAAGGAGTCTAATATTTGGGCAGGATGAGTATGAAATGCACAGGCTGTCCAAGTGAAAATATGAAGATGCGCAGGTTATATGGGTCTATATCTCAGGACAGAGACTTAGAACAGTGCAGTCTGTGTTAAGACAGGAGTCTGAGCCTGGGGTGTCCTGCACTCTGCAGGGAGAGGAGTAGAAAAAAGATAATGAGCCTGTGAACACCAGCTAGTCCTGGATTTTCTGTCCATGTCTCAGTTGCACTGGGCTTCCATGTCACACCCCAGCCAAGCACAATCCGGGGCTGACTCAGGTGGACCTTGAAAGGCTCTTATGAAAGAGTCTGTTCTTTTCTCTGTTGGGACTAAAAGTACTGGGAGTGATTGTCTTTCTTACCTGCATTTCCCCAAACACCAGAACAGATCTCCCCAAATTTCTGTTATTAAAAAACCAAATTACCCAGGAGAAAGAATTTATTGTTTTTAAATCAGATTTATGGACTCGTCCCCTGGAAATTTTGATTCTCTGGGCCAGGAGTAGGACCTGGGGGGATAATGTTGCACTAACAGCTTGAGATGATTCTATCAGGGAAGCCTGCCAAGTGCTACTCAGACCTTAACAAAAACCTGTCTTTTGGAGTCTAATTCTTGATTGAACCTTGCACCATAGACTGAGCCTCAGACTTTGGACCTGAACCAACCTAAGCCCTGTAGGCATTAGAAGAGCTAGCTGGGGTCAGTGTGGAAGGTTCTGTGCAAATCTTTCTGCACAGTGACGAAGAGCAGTGTTGCTAGTTTGAAACAGCCACTCTGGAAATGAGAGCTGTTATGTACATTTTCTGAGATTAATGGGACCCCTGGGGGAGAATTAGAAGAAGGAGAATTAGAACAGAAAGAGAGACTGTTCAGAATTACTAGAGTTACGTAATCTTTCAGTTTGCTACTTTCATTGCTCTAGTGCCCCTTCCTTATAAATTCTCTCTCTCCTCTATTCTCCCTTTTCAGAGACCCTGTACTTGGCATGCAGAATCCTAAGCTCTTGGTTGCAGTCAAAGCTACTTCAAATGGAACTCTGATCCACCCAGCATACTTTCTGCTGGTGGGCATCCCTGGCCTGGGACCTAGCACACACTTCTGGCTGGCTCTCCCACTGTGTTTTATGTATGCCTTGGCCACCCTGGGCAACCTGGCCATTGTCCTGATCATCCGTGTGGAACGCCGCCTGCATGAACCCATGTACCTCTTTCTGGCCATGCTTTCTACCATTGACCTGGTCCTTTCTTCTGTCACCATGCCCAAGATGGCCAGCCTCTTTCTAACAGGAACCCAGGAGATTGAGTTCAACGTTTGTCTGGCCCAGATGTTCCTTATTCATGCTTTGTCAGCCATGGAATCAGCTGTCCTGTTGGCCATGGCTTTTGACCGCTTTGTGGCCATCTGCTACCCACTGCAGCATGCTTCTGTGCTCACAGGGCCTACGGTTGCCAAGATAGGACTAGCAGCCCTGGCCAGGGGATTTGTGTTCTTCTTCCCTTTGCCCTTCATCCTGAAGCGGCTGTCATACTGCCAAAAACACACCGTCACACACTCCTTCTGTTTACACCAAGATATTATGAAGCTGTCCTGTACTGACACGACGGTCAATGTAGTATATGGGCTCTTCATCATCCTCTCAGTCATGGGTGTGGACTCCCTCTTCATCGGCTTCTCCTACATCCTCATCCTGAGGGCTGTATTGGCGCTATCCTCTCGGGGGGCAGCACTCAAGGCTTTCAACACCTGCATCTCCCATCTCTGTGCAGTCCTGGTCTTTTATGTGCCTCTCATTGGACTCTCAGTGGTGCACAGACTGGGGGGCCCTACTTCCCTGCTCCATGTGATCATGGCTAATGTCTACCTCCTACTACCACCTGTGGTCAACCCTGTTGTCTATGGTGCCAAGACCAAAGAGATCCGTTTACGTGTCCTCCGTTTGTTCTCCCGGGATAACAGTTGAGCAGGATAACCTCCCTGGTGTCTGCAGTCCTTGCCAAAGATAGGAACAGTAGAATCCTTTCAAATGGTTTGGTGATTGCAACATCCAACCCACTGGGCTGTGGACTTTTTCTGCTTCCTGCTATCTAAATGGACCTTGGATTTTTATCTCCAGGAATTTGTCACTATGAAGGAACTTATGATCCAGTCTGGACAGGCCATCCTGGAGAATCTTCATTCTGGTGTCTCTGCTATAGTCCTTGGGTTAGCCTGCTGTTCTAATCAGAACACATAAACAATTTAGACATGAGAAGACTGTAAAAGCCACACTCATAATTCTTTTCAGTCTTAATGTATCATTTTAATTATTATTGCTCCCTTGCATTCATGTTAAAGACTCTTTGTTGCTTATAAAGCTTCTTTCTTGGATCCCAAAGTGGTTATGTGGTTATTTTTAGGGGTTAATGGAGGTATTTGGGTGATTATAACTGGAGCCAGGGAAGGTAGATGGCAGTAGGAGAGGAGAAAGCTGACACCAAGTATTTATGTTTCTGTATTCATTGTGTATATTCATGTGGAACCTGTCCTCATGCATCTGTGTGGCACCACTGGACACCATAAGAGCACTGTGTGTTCTGGTTGTGACTGTAAGTATGCGGGTATGTCTATGTTATTGGCAGTGTGTGTGTATGCGTGAGCACATAGAATTTGTGTCTGTGATATCTCAGTGAAGGTGTTAGCTGTGCCCTGATGTGTGTGTGTGTGTGTGTGTGTGTCATGAATAATATCTGTGATGGCACATTTTTTGTGTCTAGGCACTTTCTGCAAGTAGGTGTGTAACATGCATCTTTGCATGTCTGATGAAAATATTGCCTGCATCTTTTCTTTATATTTGTAAGATGAAAATATAGAATGTAATATGCAGAATGTAATGTGCAAAATGTGCAAAATGTAAAACATTATGTATTTGTAGCCAAGTAGAATATGCAACGTGCATGAGTGTGTGAAATGTGTAGGTGGGGCTGGCTCTGCCTTTCAGTGTGCGTGTCATCCATCTTTACACATGTCTGTTGTGCACAGTGTTTGTGAGACGAAGTCATTTTTGTGTGATTTCATGTTTTCAGTCACAGGTAGGTGGCTTGCCATACCTGAAGGATGTGTGTGCGTTGTCTGTGATGATTGGGGTTGGGCATACACCTGGTGCGTGTTTTAGGGCGTGTTTCCTTCATGTAGCAGCAGCTCTGGGTTGTATGGTACGAGAGCGAGAATGCATTTGTGTCCTGATGGATGGATGTCAAGCATCTGGGCACTGATGGATGAATGGTGTCTGCATCAGAGATGGAAGTGGGAGATTACAGAGGTTTTGATTGTGAGCTACAGGTGTTATTTGCCAATATGAGAGCTGGGACTTTAGGAGGCAGTTTCTCGGCCTGGGCTTCACATGGGTTATGCCTTAGACTCTGGCAGTGATAGAAGCTACAAACTTTCTCTTTCCATCTTCTCAAAGGAATTTCAGTGCTTCTGTCACTTCCCACCTCCCCTCCCACATGTCCTGTCCTGAGGTATTTATTTACCTTCTTAAATCGCTGGCTTTCAGCCTTAGGAGCAGGTTGCAATTCACTCCCTCTTCCTGCCCTTTCTTGTTGGTATACGGACCATGTCTCTTAAAAAAAATTGTCCTGTATTTGGCGTGCTTTTGTTTTTTGACATCTCACAGCTAAAATAAAACATGTAAATCTACAGGCCCTAGCTCCATGAATTTCAGTATCTCTACACATCTGTGACCAACACCCAGTGAGGAGCAGACTGTTTCCACTGCTTTAGAAGACCCCTTGTGCCCCTTTCCAGTCAGTCTTCTGCCAGATGCAATCACTGTTCTGATTTCTATCACCCTCAGATTAACCAAACATATTTAAACATCCTCAGTTGCAGGGATTTTTGTTAATACCTTTGGGGAAGTTGTGAGCAAGGGTGGAATGGGGGGGCTAATATGACATTTCAAGGGCTCTGGCATCTCCCAGAGGCCTCTCACTCCAGGGATGCTGGCTTAAGTTCAGTTCTTGGAATCTGTTAGGTAAAAAACACACACAGTGAAAAATTATAGGCAGGAAAAATTGTAGGTTCATTTGAGGCAGATGAATGAATACAGAAGAAATCCCAGAAATGTCATAAACAGCTTATCATATAACATCTCTGGCTCTCACTCGCTCTTCTGTATCCTATGACAATAACAGTGATGTTGCAAAGCTTAAATACTATGGATGTTCTTTGTAAATTGCAAAGTGTTATAAACATGCAAGAAATGATTATATTCATGTTTGTCTTATGGTACAATTTTAGGAAGCAATACTCATGTTATAGTGTATGTGGAGGTGCTTCCAGAAATGTGCAGTCAATTATCAGCTTGAGCATGTATGGCTGCCCTTACTTTTTGTCAGTAAAAACAGCTCTTTAGTTCTTAATGAATTGTTTTCACAAAGTTTCAGGGAAATTGAAATTCTTTGAATGTCTGATTTACAAATGAAATTCAGATTTACCAATAAAAGTGGAGGATAAGAGCCTCCTCTGGTGGCGTAGGTGGTTGAGTGCATCGCTGTGAGGCTGTCCGCAGCCTCTGCAGAGCGGTTTCGATCCTAGCCAGGGAGATTCACACGTGGTGCGGCAGACCTCTCCTGTCTCGCCCACTGCTCCCCTTAGCAGTGTGTTTCGTCAGTCTGCCTGTTCTGTTCCCCGCTCTGTCTCTGGTGAATCCTCTCACCCTCCGGAGCATCTGGCCTATACCCTGGTTCTTGTATGTATGCAAATAAATAAATCTTTTAAAAAAAAAGTGGAGGAAAAGGCAACCTTGCTAAGAGCTTCCTTTATATGTGGCTTATATTCATGTCAGGAAAAGAGACAATGTGGAGTTGGTATTAGATGTGATATAGGTTAGAATCTCTGGCTTTGATATGTGGGCCAAGTACTTAGCCTATAGAACCGCAGTGATTTTGGAAAGTGTAAATACAGAAATATAATATAGAAATATAAAGCAGTGGGCCTCCCCGGTGGCGCAGCGGTTGAGCGCTGGGTTGCGAAGCTGCCCGCAGCCTCTGCTGCGCGGGTTTGATCCCCGGCTGCTCCCCGGCCACCGGAGGAGGGTCCCACATGGCGCGCAGACCTCTCCTGCCGCCCGCTGCTCCCCTCAGCAGTGTCCTTCGGTCCTTCTGCCTGCTCTGCTCCCCGCTCTGGCTCTGGTGAATTCTCTCACCCTCCCGTGCTTCTGACTGTACCCAGTGCTTGTATGTATAAACAAACAAATAAATAAATAAATCTTAAAAAAATATATAAAGCAGAAATATAATAGATCCTGATGGGTGGTTGGGATTAAATAGGGTCATAGGTATGAAAACACATGGAAAACAGAAAGAGGTAAATAAATGTCGGTGGCAATAGTATTAAATAACAACACTGATAAAATAAGTTATGTTATTCCATCATAGGGGTCAGGGATCAAAGTTCAGCAGTGTTCACCTTCCACAGCCCCCTCCTGGGTCAAGGCCGGAAGCTAGTCTCTTGTTTAGTTTGCAGTGTCACTGTTTTCAGACTAACTCATGGTCTTTTTTTATCAGAAGATTGTGGGATAACTCCAAGTCACCTAAATCTCTTTATCTGGAGAACTGGTAGTGACTAGGGTAATTATTGCTGGTTTGAAAACTTGGCTAATTGCCAGACAATATTAAAGGCTTCTTTTATTCCCCTCACCCCCACCCCCCACACCATCTCTCTTCTATTCTGTCTCCTTTGAGGGCAAGGGTTAGGTTTTATTTACCTCCAGGACCTTGCATATAATGTGAATAATGACCTTTCAGACAGAGGGAGAATCTGAGTGGGTTCAGGTTCAATTTAGATACACAAGTTCATTCTTATTCCCTCCATCCACTCTCATCTTATTTCTTTCTCTATAAATCAGTTTGATCTATGTTATTTTATAAAGTCCACAAAGTACTTTCCTGAGCTACTAATGATTAATTATGATTGAAAAACAGCATTTTACTGTAGATAACATCTCTGGTTCCATTTTACAGAGTTGAAAATCAAGGCTCTAAGAAGTTAAGTGAGTAGCCCAAGGTCATACAGCTAAAAGTAGGATAGTGACTCAATTCTAAGTTTCTTTTCCCAGTGTCACCACTTGAAAGCCTCAGATATGAGATTCTGTTAATACGTGGTGGAAGTTGTGAAAAACGTTAAGTGCTGGAATGAGTCAAACTACCTCAGAGCATCCCTGTATTGGTGCCCCCCACTTCAGTACCCCTTACCTTGTCTGGCCCAGGAAAAGGCTACTTAAGTATGTTTGCTTTAAAAAAAATTTTTTTTAGCCAGGTGATTAGATAGATTGAGGGATATACCACAGCCATATTTCTAAAGTAGGCAATTCTTTGAGCAATACCCACATATTCTGTCGTCCTCAGTGGAGGAGATCCATATTCCCTCCCTGTCATGTTTGCCCCTCCCAACCCTATCTTTCAGCAGAGTGCATGGTGCTCTCAGCCTTGGGAAAAATCACTGATAAGTTTCAAAGACCAAGTGAGAGATGCTGTTTCTCCACCGTGGCTTCCACAGCTCTGCGGCCATCCCATTCAGTAGTCATCTGTGACTACTGAATGACACGGAATTGTGGAAGGGGACGGATACATCTAATACTTAACAAGAGGGTGCTGGGTGTTGCAGACTCACTGGGTGGTTCTTTGATACCAAAGATAAACTCTTTTTGTTCATAAAACAGTCACTATCGTCCTGCACTCACTTCTTATTCTAAAACTCTCCTGTTGGGACAAAGAATGTCATGAGGATCCTTAGTCCCAGCAGAACTGAAGGTGAGTCTAGTTCTGCTGTTCCCCTCGACAATGGGCATCTGGGTGGGCTTGGGTTCTCTGAAAAGCAGTTGCCAAGGTGAGATGAGGTTAGGTGCCCATGAGATTTTTTTTGGGGGGAGACTTAGGTATTATTTGCCTCCAATCCTTGGATATATTTAATTTTTAATTC